ATGAACGAGCCTACCTATATATATACTGTCTCTTATACACATCTAGATGTGTATAAGAGACAGGAATTAATGTAATTCTTGCCATTGTCTTATAAAATAATATAAATATATATAAATATGTGTTTATATATACATACATATACTGTATACAAAGCTATACATTCTATTAAGGGGTATGGATAACGTTTAATTTTTACACATATTATTTTGGTTACCCTGGCTACCTTTACTTATGGATGAACTTGCACAAATAGTAATAGTGAGAAACTACTGTGATAATGACTATGATAATGATTAATCAGATATTAAAGTGTAAACAGTGGTAAGGAAAACTGATGATGGTATTGATATTGATAATTTAGATTTTGACAATGATATGTTAATAATAGCAACAGCAAATCCTTGATGACAGTGATTAAAGTTTGAATTCCACTTACTCACTCATTGAAGCTTGCTTGATATACCAAACGCTTATCTCAATAAAATCATGTTAAGAAAGATGTAATGATGAGATGATTACTGTAATAACTGAAAGTACAGTATATCACTATGCATAATTTGTGATGTAGAATAGCACAGGTGATTAAAGGTGTATTGTTCCAGAGATGCTTCTTCGTATCATACTTCTTGTGTGTATTCTGGTCGAATAATTCATTAATAATGTATTCAATCTTGGTAAGAAAAACCACTTACAGGCTAATTCAAATGGATCAAATAAGCCCAAGCTACAAACTTTTAAGGAATTATGGATAAAAAAAAATCCGGTTTTGCTAAATATCAAGTGGCATAAATTCGTAAGAAAGTATAATATTTATGAAAGAAATTTAAGAAAGTATTTCAGTACTTGGAGTATGTATTATACTTATCAGATTAATCAGTGGGCCTTTCAGCATAAATTCATTATCCACATATGTAAGGATGTTTTTCAAAATAAAATAGAAATTGGTAGTATTGGGCCAAAAAAAAAATTGTTTGCCCTCCTCCACCCACCCCTAACTCACTGGAAAAATAGGGGTGGAAAAACAAAAAAACTTAAAAAGAAGCTTTTTACTTTACAAATAAAAAAGAATGTGAGTGAATTTATCTTTATTTTTTGCCAGATGTCCTACAAACTAGTCTAAACTTGTTGTCTGATGTAAGATATTGCCATTCTAGGCCATTTTTATTCCATCTGAGTATCTTTAAAAAAAAAAAAAAAAGGGCAAACATCATTTCAATTAAAAGCAAATACAGTATAGTAACATACTATTTTTTTTTCTCAAGCTCATCACAGAAAAAAAAAATTATCAATACAGTATGTAAATGGTCACCTTCCAATAAAGAGTAGGGGATCTGCCTAACCATCAAAAGGACCCACTGGTTCAGAGGTCACTTCCAGGAGATCTGATTAAATGAACTTCCTTAACACATTTAATTTTATTTTGTTGCACATTGTGATACCCATCAGCACTGACTTCTGTGAGACAATTGATAATAAAGCAGTGAAAACATGCACATATTATGAATTTGCATGAGATGGGATATATTTTTGGTGATCCTTGTTTGCTTGCGGGAGGCTGTCACAATTTTCCGAGACTCCATACTTGCTGTCGGTTATCCTTGGTGTACATCATCCAATCCTACTTGAACTTCCTTTTCAGTGCAACTAGTTTTTAGAGCCTGGTTTCCATAAAATTGCTGCACTGTTGCTATTGTTTCCACTGCATTTGTACACTGCGTAGCTATCCCTGATATAAATCGGTAAGACTCCCTGAATCAACCGACCAATGAGCATTACTGACACTTTTTGGGGAAAGTATACAGTATAACGATTTTATGGAAACCCAGCTTAACTGGTAGCAGGTATACTTGTTAAGCCAGTATATTATATATTTTATTTATCAGTGCTTAGAAACAACTTTTATAATTTATAAAAAGAGACAAGAAACTAAAATATTTCCCATAAGACCCTTTTATATCTTACATTGTGCAATATTTTAACATGGGAAAGCAGTTTAACATGAACAGTTTATAAATAGTACAACTTTAATCCTTTTTAAAATTGTCTCACTTTTAAAATTAAAATTAATTTATTAACAAAATCACAGTATAATTAAATGCTATGCCATCCCATTGAACATTATCTCTTTCATCTTGTCACAATCTGGGGGCGCTGTTGTGAATAAAGTTCCGACGAATATATGCATGCCCCAGTCACGGTGTCGTATACACTTGCAGCAGCCTAAGTCTTCAATGTCGAAACCTAACTTTGTGAAGCGTTCATCTGTTTCAAATAGCGTCGAGTTGGGATTACTTGCACCAACAAACTGAAATTGACAACAAAATGTATACACTTGATTATTCAATCGTTTATATGAACTTGGTTATAATGTTGTAAATTTTTTTAAATTACAGTTGAACTTGCCAAAATTGAATTCAACATGGCATTGAAAAATTGTTCAACTTAAATAAAATTTGACTTGCAGTTCATTAATTACTGGAAAACACAACAATTTGGCATGTAAATAAGATTGACTTGGAAATTATTTGAGTTTTGGTAAAGTCAACTTTAGGCAAGTTTACTGTATTATTGGTTTTTTTTCTTTTGTTTTTTTAATAAGAATGTGAATAATTTCTTAATTTACTTAGGTAAATGGGGTCACAGTATAAAAGCTTGTTTGTTGGTTGGTGTTGGTGTCCATGGTGATGCTGATGGTGAAGACTATGATGATGGTTTATGAAGTACTTACTGCTTGTCCAGATGAAGGGTCAATGAAATCAGCCCAGAAACCTGCCTCAGTTAATAATTTACAAATCTCCACTGCACTCGTCATGAACTAAACAAAAACAATACATAAATTCAACACTGCCATTTATAAGATAACAACAGTTGGTGTTTAATCTCAACTGTAGAAAACACCAATAATAAAATATAATGTAATTTTCTGCTACATGTTGACCTCAAAGCATAGAAGCATGCTTAAAACCTCATTTGGCCAGAGGTTTAGAGGTGACCACTTGATGTGTTAGGCTTTACCCCTGTCTCTTATACACATCTAGATGTGTTTTGCATTTAGCTGGCCCACTACTATATGTAGTTTGAGCACTCTCGGCATGGTATTACGAGCGCTTTTAAACTGCCTTGTTACAAGCTTGCTTGTTTCATAGAAAGGTTCAATCTCAAATTTATCTGAGCTGCACTGATGAGTCCTTAAAGGACGAAACAAAGTTGTATGCAGATTGATTTAACTTATAAGATGCATTCCACATTAAGATTCCAATATGGAAGCATTTGGCAGAGTGGTAGGTCTTTGGGTTGGAAGTCCAAAGTCCTACCACATGGAAAGAAGATCCAAATATTTTGGAGCAGTAAAAGATCAGAGTAAATGTAATGCTGAAAATAATTTAGGAATACTTTTGGAATAGGAAACCTATCAAGAAAAAAGGAACCTGGAAATCATGGGAATGAAGATAAATAAATTGAAAGTGAGTGAGATTGAAATCTTGGTAACATACATTTTCTAAGAGCTCTTCCCGCTCGTGTTCAACTTCAGGACTCCAGGTGGACATGTCGTTTTTTGTTTTCTGGCAAAGGGTTAGGATTGTTATGCTGCCTTTAGATAGATCAATATCGGGAAATAAATCACTAAATCCTAAAGGAAAAAAGACAAGACATTACTACTAAAAACAATGCAAACTATTCATTTACAAATAATATATATAACAATAATAATGATGACAATAAATATAACAAAAGTTAATAACCTAGCTGTAAGAAATTAATTAATCAATGAATAAAAAAAAATCAATGCTACCTTTAATTAGAGATTTTGGACAATCTTGTGCTATCATTTCTAAAACATTCTTCGGATTTTTGTAAGCTTCCTTCATAAAGTCTTCTGCTGATTCTTCTGACTGAAAATAATGGAGAAAGAGAAAACATAAATAAATCTAATAACTACCATCGTGTAGGTGAGTCATGCAGTAAGGCAGCGGCGCCATTACGTATAGCCTTAACATCTGTGCTGGTTCGAGCCGCTCCTCGCCTATGGTTTGGTTGGTAGAACGAAGTCTTCTCAATAAGGACTTAAAATTGGAAGTCCAGGGTAAACAACTGGCTCATGTACACTTTAAAGAGCCCACTGCATCTTTCAAATAAGTATGCCTCTAATACATATTTATCATTGGATCCCATAAATTTCTTCAATAATATGCTTTGGTTCATTCCAGCCCCTGTTGTGAAATGTGAACGTGAAACTACTGAGCTCCTCTCTGCGTCTGCTGAAGAAGCCCATACGTCCTTTCAACAAGTATATATACTACAGCATATGACATAAAGGCAGGTTCAGACAGCATCACCAATCTGATCTGATTCCATTGGGACTAGCCACAACGCAACAAGGTGCACGGTGGATTGCATTCCCACAGGCTGTCACACAAAATTAGCATCACTTCAGGGAAGCACTCACATAAAGAGCATGGAACAATTAGTCGAAGCCTATACACAGTGTCGGCCTTAACGGCAGCACTGCTTGGGAATCGGAAAAATTAATGGAACCATTGATAGATTACTTTACCTCAGAGACAGTGTTGATGAATTGAGCAAACACTGCAGCATGTCTATCATGAGGTAGAGGTTTGTAGAGGACATCACAGTTTGCGTGGCTGGACGCTACTTCCGGTCGCTGTTGCGGAAGGAGTTGAGCTGCTGTACCGACATTACCTGGCAGCGGGAAGCGTTTATCTTGTACTGACAAGGGACCAAGTTTTTTATCTGGCCAAGTGGTCACTTCTGGAAAAAAAGAACATAAAGGAACAATCAAATTAAATATATGGTGCAAATCTCAACAAATTAATACTGGAATAAAACTACAGTATCTATTATAAATTTTAGAGCAAATGCTTATATTTAATGTAAATATTTTTTCAAATAAAACCCTCTCAATTAAACTAAAATATCAATATCAACCACATTAAATATGGCAAAGACAAGTGAAATCAGCCACTGGTCGCAAAAAAATCAAGTTTGAGTTATTAATACAGGATTAAAATGTAAAATGAGAGCTATAAAATGGTATAAAAAATCATTCAAATTCGACATTTCCTTATGAAGTTACATACAGCTGTTTAAACAACAATATATGAGAAATCAGCCTTCAAAGTTTATGATTTCGGGAATTTCTCGTGCAGAAGCTATTATTAAATCCTTAAAAAGTGTTCTTTTAACATTTAAAATGGGGAAAATAACAGCACAGCATGATGTATAGATATATAAAGGTTAGTTTAGTGCAATAATATAGATTTTGAAAAATTTGACATTTTCAGCATGTTTTGGCCATTTTCTATGAAACATGATTTGCAACAAGTGACTGTTTGGCTTGTCTTTGCACAAATTAGATATTAATTATCAATATTTTTCCCTACCACTCTGACTTTCTTCTCCTCGGTTATACTGCTGTATGGAATGGGAAAATGACCTTTGACTCACAACTGTTGCACGCAGTGCTTCCAGGCCAGGCATGTAAGCTATCAGACGCGCCCGACTAAGAAACTGCAGAAGAGATAAAAGGAAAAAGGCAATATCTCTAAATACTGTAGATTAACATAAAATAGTGGGCATTGCTTTTCCTCTAATAATTTAAGATTAAGAATTTTTATGTTACATGTATTATGTTATATCCTATTATGGGTGACCTTTGTCATTGTTGGATTTGGTGAAAAATAAAATACAGGGGTGTAGTGACAGGGTAGCAGGCAGTGAAAAAAAGATTTTCATTTTACATGAACTGAATGTGAAATAGAGTATTTTACTTCTGTATTTCTCTATTTCAATTCTTCTTTTTGGTCAATTTTTTTCAAATGCAGTAGAATTCCAATTAATGGGACACCTTCATGACCAAAACAGTGTCTTTCTATTAGGTCTGTCCTGTGAATGTGGGTTGGCTGTAGTGTTAAATAGTACTTGTCCACGCTTCATAGCAGAAAAAGTATACCTTAAAAGGGGTTCCCCTTAATAGCAGTGTCTCAAAGGAGGTGGTTTAAGAATAAATAATTGGGCATCTGCATTTCCATATAAGATAGTAATTCCTGAACCCAGAATCACTGTGCATGTGTAACCAGATTATTTCAATTAATAATAGTTTTAATCATTTATCATTATTTTTTTACATTCAATTACAAATAATAATAATAATAACGATTTTAAAATACAAGTGTTTACTAGATCTACATACCTTAGCCATCTTAGTCGAGGCTCTTGGTTCTTTATTTGCCTATGAAGGGGGAAAAAAAACCAATATATTTAATAATTTTTTAATTTATGGTATGGAAGACTTTGATTGCCTTTGTGCAGAATATCAAAATCAATTTTTTTATAAATACAATTGGTGTACCCTAGACTGGCCTTGGTATTGGAACTGTTTATTTAAACATTGTGATATCATTTACATAAATATACATACAACACAAATTTTTAAAATATGTAAACATGCAAAAATCATAAATAAATTATGATTAAAATTGTTTTTATAAGCCAGTGGGGTTGTTAACGATTACTTATTTTCTGTCTATTTGCATATATTTTTGTGTCCTTAAATATTTTCTGAAGACAAATGAATTTAAAAATTGGAGAAAAAACAATTACATTCAAAGTGTCATTTCCTTCCAGCTATCTAGAAGTGCCATGATCATAAATTTTCTTACCACAGCCCCAACCATGGTGGGCCTGAGGTGGTATAGACCCTCCATCTGTGGAAGTCCCTTCCTGGGCCACTCTATTGCAAATTTCTGGATCCACCACTGATATTGTATCAATCAATTCACAGTTAAAAATATTTAGAATACATGATTAATAAATGAGCACAGAATTCTTTGAAATCCTACAATGAAACTGACGCCCAGAACCCACAAAGGGCCCCAAGTCCCAGAAAGCATGGAGTTATAATTACAGAAAGCTACCAGGCGTTACGCCATTGCTTACACGGTTGGAGGTCCTTTGTATGTTTAAATCCACAAGTACTAGTAGCCTCCTTGACTATATATACCAGTAGTCCTAAATGGAGTCATACTAATTACCACCAACAACTGTCAACTAGCATTTTTGATGGTAATTAGTATGCGTGTACAGTAATACTAATTACCGTCAACAATGCTTGTTGACGGTTTATGACAGCATTTAGTATGTGTGTACAGTAATAATAATTAAAGTTGTTGATATGAGGATGTCAAAAGTGAGGGAATTCCACCAGGAGATTGTTTGTGGAAAGAATGAGTGTCTGTGATCCTAGTTTAGATTATCCTAGTTTATGATAATGATGGTGAACAAATTTGCAGCAAAACGTTAGAATTGGAAAATTATTCAATAGAACCGCTAGGTAGGAAGTGCAACCAGTGCAAGCACGGCGGCAGTACCCTACTCTCCGGACAGTCTGGGCCTAGGCTAGTGTGTAGTTAAAAGTAGGCCTAGGCCTGGCCCTGGCCTGTCTACCACACACAGACGGCATAGCCGAGGCACACGTACCTGTACCCGTACCCGTACGTAGGCCTAGGGCTTAGGCCAGGCCTATAACTATGTAGAGTTTGTAGATTGCCTTGCTTAAGGCTACCAACCGTCAGATAGTAGTAGGTCAGAATTATACAATAGCTAAATCAATAAACGTACTTACACTAAACAACGTGGCACATTAAGAGTATTAAATATATTACAATTTACAACCTAGCCAAAATGACAAATCATCAAGAAGATAACGAATTTACTAGCGAAACCAAAGATACTAGAAATACAAGATAGAGTTCTCGCATTGTAAAATTGAGGCGGAAGTCGTGCCCAACGTAGGCGGCGCCCTTCTTTTTAACCATGCAAGTTTCCTATACTTCGTGCCCAACGTACAGGGCGCCCTTCTGTTGCTAAGTTGTGGAGAACTCTATCTTGTATTTCTAGTATCTTTGGCGAAACTGAAAACTCTCTCAGCAGCTCTCTGAATGGTGAAACGATGGGGGCGCAAGTAATAAGAACGCAACAACGCAAATATGCGTATGGAACAGCGCTAGTTCTCGATGGACGCAACAAGGAGAGAGAGACAGAGGTGGGGTGGGGGGCGGAGAGAGATAAATAAATTAATGACACGCCCTGTTATCTTCAGCATTTAAACGACAAAGCAGGATCCCCAAAAAAAAGAGATACTTTTATTGGTAAATCATGCTGCAGTGAAGAGAATTACTGTATATCTACTTCCTAATAACACGCATATGAGACTAAACTGTTATAATATTATAATATTTCACCTGTCATATTTAACAAATAGTAATTGTATAGGCCCTAATTAGTAGTTTTCAGTAATTATTGAGCTTTCAACTTAAAAAAGGAAACTGGCGTTTTTCATTACTTACCGGTATTATATTATTTAAATCATTTATGATTCTTTTTTCTATTAAGAAGGCCTATTAAACGATATAATTAATAGCATGATTTGTAAAGTTGTCACCTAATTTATATTTTGTATTTGCAGTATTGTTTTAGCTTTCAACTAAAAAAAAAAGACAACTTTATTACTTTATAAATCTAATAAAGAATGATTACAGCGTTCAACTAATAGGACTACAGTACAAGAAAAAAAAAACGACTTTATTTATTCTAGACCCCCATGCACTACTTCAGTTTTTGACGGCAATTAAGGTTCCATATATTAGTAAAACTACATGGATATGCTTCAGAATAATTTATGTCAGTGTATTTTATTTTTTATTTTTTGTAATTAATACTTACCGTATCCTTGTAATAGGCAAGTATATGGACGTAGCCGTTCAGCAACAATTTCTTGCGTTATTGATTACATATAGTTGCAAGTGAAATGATTTAATTTGATTTCATGTCCTAATATAGAAAATTGATCACATTGTGGTGGTTCTCCGTGTAGTTGTTTGGCCCGTAATTCAATTAATTTGAATTACCGTATTTATGGGAATAACCAGCTTTCGGAATATAAACGCACCCTCGAATAAGTCCCACAACCCTTCAGAGTCTCATTTGCAATAAAGGCAATGGAGGAGCGTTTATTTTTCTCGAATAAATGCCTCCAAATGACTCTAAAAACGTTTTCGACACATTCTACTAATATTCTACTCCAATCGAATTATAGGCTTATTTTTCTAAACTGTTTGGGATTAATTGATTAAGTTATTTTGGTAGGATAGGATAGGATAGGATTTATTCTGTGTAAACACCAAGGATAGACCACGAAAGTCTAGAAGGAGACTTATTTCCAGTGGGGTCCTTCTGGTGGTGATTGGACAGTACACCGGGAGACAATCCCCTACTCTTTTCCGAAGAGTCTACAGTGTTCTTTAACATGCACATGGGCCATAAATGCACACGGGACCAACGGCTTAAACGTCTCATCCGAAAGACGTGCGCTATGTAACTTGTATTTCTAGCTGAAACACAAGGAGAGGCAGCGATGGGATTTGAACCCAGTGGCTACCACCAAATTAGCCGACTGAGCTAAGCTGCTCACGCAATAACACATTTTGAAGGTAATTATGTGTAATTCCACTTTACATTTATTTGAGTATACGTACGTACGGTATCCAGTTTACACACACACACACACACACGCATACACACACCCACACACACACACAACGCCTCCATCGAATAAACGCCTCCCCAATAAGCGCCCAATACGTTTGGTATTTGACTCAACACATGAACTCAGAATTAATAAACGGTGAAATAGGCTTAAAAGAAATTTCCACCGTATTTTAATAGTTAATAAAATACTTTATTTACTGCTTTTTTAGATAATCAAGCGATGCTTTGCATCCTTTACATTCAAATTGTCATAAGAACTCAGGTTTATAAATCCATTTTCATAATCAGAGGAGTGACATTTTTCCCTCAGAGGGCAGATTTTATTTGGGGGGGGAGGGCGGCCCTGCCCACCTTTTTTTTTAATGTAAAAGAAAAAAGAAGAAGAAGAAAAAAAAAAGAAAGAACGAAAAAGAAAAAATTGATCCCCCAAAACTCCGGACGTTATTTTCAGGCGTCTAGAAAACAAAAATTTCGACCCGCTAGGATAGCGTTTTCACGATTAGACCCACTTTCGGCGCCTCAGGCCCTAGCTGTTATCGTACCGAATACTCTCAGTACTGTAGTCCCAAAATATTAGCGAACAAGCAAGTGGGGTTTGAATCGAATCCACGACCTCCAGGTATAAACTAGATCAGAGTATAGTCATCCTCTCCAATCTTTATTATATTCAATATGACGGTTTACAATTGGTAAATTGTTTTCTATATATTTACACTACAATACTCTTTTTGTTTCGTTTGTTTTATATATTGTAAGTTTAATGTCTGTAATATAACACTAAATATATTTTTAATTTGTATATATATGTATATTTAACCAATTGTTTAAACACCTGGATTCAAATTTCGAGTGTATCATGTTGAATTGTCGACAATAAATATTCTTTTTATTTCTTTTTAGATGTTGACTAGTGTATAGATGACACGAGACTCAATGAATTTTGAATATATTGCAATTTATTAATCAAATAAAAATACGAAGTTGAAAATCAAAATTCAGAGAGAGAAAACAAATAGTGATGCTTATCCTATGAAAATCATTAAACCAACCAACTGACCTAAAGTAGGGTGCTTTATAAACTGGAACCAAAGGGGAGTGAAAGGTAGGTCAAGTTTGCCTATGCATACCAATGCCCTGACCAAAACACATCAGTTGTCACTGCAATTTAGCAAGGCTAATAAATGTCGCCTTAGGTAACTGTACCAAGGTTATTATAGGGTAGAAATACTGATAATTCATATGGGATATAAATACAGGAAATAAAGTATATACACAATGAAAAGTAAAGTTCAGTACTAGCTTTACTTGAATGATGATAATTCAAAAATTTTAAAGTTACAATTAAAAGTCCAATATTGATAGATGCTCCACCTTTAATTAAGTCTAAAATTGCTCATGATTTCTTATTTTTGGTCATTTCAACAACAAACGCCACCAGCGTCTGATGGCCGTCTTCGCGCGTGTTGCGCGAACATTTGATATTTAACACCAGACAGCAAGGATGTGTGGACGAGATAGCTGAGCGCTGTAGTTATTTCATGAATTCTGCTTTGCGTTTTCATTTCCAGGTCAGTAATTCATTATATAACTCTTTTAAAATCTAATCTTCGAATGTATTTGCATATTGGGAATCTGTTTTATTTTAATTTCGCCAAAAATATATAGGCTAGCCTAAAGCTTTAAACATTTTCCGTCAACCACCAAGTGGAAATTCCAACTCAGTCAGTCACGAGTCATTCATACTCAATCAATGTTGTTACTTTTGAACAGACCGTCCATCCATGTTCGGTGTAGCCTAGGTATAGGCCTAGGCCTAGAGTGATTTGTAATGAATCCTGGAAAAATATAAAGATGCTATAGTGGTAACATTCCTGATGATTATGTCACTAAATGTGCTTGGGCAGTTCAAACATTTTTATTTTGTTAGTTACTGGCCAATAACGACAGTGAGTGATGTCCTGTAGTCCTGATTTTGTTCGACGAGAGGTCAGGTTTCATCCATCTGATGATGCCTATTATCGATATAACACATGCATTCTGCAGAGTAAAGGACTGAAGCTTGGTCAAATGAAACAAAATACTGTATTGTAGGCCTAGGCCTATCCAATGATAAAATGGGATGTAGGTAAAAATGACCCAGGAAATAATAATGGCCCTGAAAAAAATTTCCCCGGTAAAAATGGCCCCAAATGACAAGTAGGTAAAAATGGCCCCAAATGAAAAAATTCAGTAATAGAAATAATATTTTTTTTTTAAATCTTCAAATATTTAAATACTGTAATAAGCAAGAATTGAGTCAATAAATAAAAAATGGCTGTCAATTATCAAATTAAAATTTAAAAAAATTATGAATGTTTTATTTTTCCTTTGAAAATAAGATCAGTTTATGTGATTTTTTTTTTAAATTTCTCTAAAATTATTTGTTTTTTAACAAATACAGTTACACAACAGATGCAAATAATGTACTGAGAGATTATCGGAAAACAGTGGCCATTGAATAACATTATTATTTTTTGATAGTATAAATAAAAGTTTAAAAAACGTAATTCCACTAACAAAGTAGAGGAATGACATACATACAGTACTTCAACTACCAAAATATGCAACTCATAGATAACCACAAGATTTACTTTTGTTAAGTATCAAATGAAATAACTTTACATGTTATAAACAATGCAAATAAACAGTAGTTAAAGCATGTGGATCAATTGTGTGTTTGAATCACAAGTTCATGTATGGGAAAAGGGAGATTCTTACTTTCTCACAAACTTAGCAATAAATGTTCTGCTTAGAGTTACTTCAAAGTTAATAAAATATTGTTTTTAAAGTAAACTAAATAATTAGGAATACATTTATTTAAGCAACTTATTTAATTGCATACTTGGTTTTTACTCCCTGCAACTAAATTTAAGTGCCTAAAACTATACTAAATAATGTAAACTGAGATACTAATATATACATAGTTATGTAAATATGGCAATTATGCTAAGAATTAAAATGGCATGTAATTGTGAGGGTAGGGTAATTATGGTACGGTATTGCTAAATCCCACAAACTTCCCAAAACACACTCTAGAAAACAAAATATTTCAATTGTGATGTACTCACTTGGTATATCAATAAGAAAGTTAAATATTCATGTAAGAACCTATTTTTTGGTTAAAATGTTGATATTTTTTTGTGAAAAAATACTTTCGAATGCACCACAAACCTCCAAACACACTGCAAACCCCATCCAAACCCTTTAATTATTTATTTATTTATTCTTTCTTTATTCTGAAATACACTTTCAATACAATGTACTGGTTTCCAAAGTGGTTCAGTTTGACACACAAAAGTATGTCAAACAATTTTCAAACATAACTTAACTACAAAATGTAAAACAAGATATTTTCATTGTAGAATTTAATTATGATTGTAGAACTCTCTTTTTTCTTAAAAAAAAAATAAAATAATTGATGTTCATATCAACCCATTGTTTGTGGGGTTTACCAATACCCGGAATGAATTTCTGGAAAATTGTGATCCTGCTTCCGTGAAATTGACCACACAAATAAATTATTTTAGTATTAATAAATGCATGATTTATGTTGATTTATTGATTATGTTGTTGCTATTTTTTAACATTTCAATGAAAAAAAAATAAAAAGTGTTATTCATGGCTTCTTTTTATCTTTGAATATTTTACCATTGAATATGTAATTCCTGCAAAAAGTAAAATGTAAATGGCAATTTATTTGATGTTAGATTCCTTTTAAAAACTAAATTATTTCAGTTAAAAAAATGCATATAATGATTTTAAAAAAATCAGTTTTAATACAATATTTTATTATTGGGGCCATTTTTACCTACCTGTCATTTGGGGCCATTTTTTACTGGGCCATTTTTGACTGGGCCATTCTTACCGTACACCAATAAATTGGATAGGCCTAGGCCCTATCTATTAACCATACAACCTTAAAAATCATAACTGATGCCATGGGTATCACTACTAATGGGTGATTGCATAATGACAAGGCTATACGCACAGTGGCTGTTTATATAATGGGCTTAACAGATCTTATACGCACAGCGGCTGTGTATGTGAGGACAGAACGGATCTTATACACATAGCGGCTGTGCATATACTGTCCCTAACGGGTCTTATACGCACAGCAGCTGTGTATAAAAGGTACAGAACGGATCTTATTCTGTACGTACAGCAGCTGTGAAATGTACATTACGGATCTTATACACACAGTGGTTGTGTGTATATAAGAAACAGAACGGATCTTATACGCACAGCAGCTCTGTATAATGAACTAACGTATCTTATACGCACAGCAGCTCATTTTATTGCTTTCTGTTAAATTTGTTTGCAACATATTTTACCCTTTAAAAATACATTTTTGTGTTACTATACTTGTAGAAGTATTATATATACCTGCTCTACATATCTTTTAAATAATTAATATTATTTCTTTTTTAGATAATTTATATTATATTTATCTTTGCTGAAATCGGCAAAAAGTTTCTTTCCACCATGATTAGACTATGGTCTTAAAGTGTCAAGAGAGTTGGAATTGTTTAGCTAATATTTAACCCAACCCATTCAATTGCCTCTCTCATAATCACCATTGTTGTACTTGCTTAATCTACTCATTTGCATATTGTAGCATTTTTTGTAATCACTGTCAAAGTTTTCTCATTCCTAATGATGACCCAGCAAAGGTTGAAAAGTTGAACCATGGCCTCCCTCCTTTGATTCGGAGTAACGTTCATTCTATGTTATTGACAAAAACAATTCAACAAAAAATACAAAACAGTAATAAAAAAAATATGAAGTAATAAAATTAATTTCCTTGTGGAAAATGAGTACTGTACTAATAGAGTACAGTCTAGCTCATCCTACTTTTAATACATGATATAATGTACACTTCAATTTCAATTTCACGGACTTCACTTTTACAACAGTGGCACACATAAATCAAGTTTTATGGTGCATTCGAAATACCTTAATACAAAACAAAATTTAAAAAAAATAAAACTTAATCGTAAAACCAAAAGTATGTTAATCAACAGTAAAACAAATATCAAAACTTAATAATCAAAAAATAAGCTGAACCAAAGTAAAGAAGAACAACAGGGGTGTAGTTAAACAACAGGGGTGTAGATAATCTAACTTTGGAGGTGTAGTAGTACCACCCATGTAGGTATTTTAGATTGTTTATTAGGGAGATTAGTTGAACAATGATCATTAACAGTAGATAAACCATAGCTTTTCTTAACATTCAAACCAGTAAGGGTGCGTTCGAACGAGTTATTTTGTGAAGTTTAACACGGGATAAATCCGGAAACGGCAATTTAAAGTTCTAGTTCGAACGTGTGTAAAACGCGGACCACCTGCTGGTATCTGCTGATAATCCAACGCTGCAAATTGGAGGGTTTTTGGAGGAGCAAAAGCAGCATGGGTTAGCAGCAGGGAGCATTTTTTATCATTTAATCCCCTTTGATTTTTTCAAGATGCGGCAGAAGTAGAGTCTGTTTATATGATCATGGTCCCTGCTTTTACAATTTATTTCCAAAAACAAAACTCAAAAAACTTGATAAACTAAATTATTTCAACTGAGAAATCCAGATTGTTACCTTGTTACATACGTCCACCACATGCATATCTGATCATGGCACCACTGACTGCTTATTCGTTTAACAGTGGTAGTAATTTTCTGTTTTTAAATTACAATTGTCAAACGATTAAAAGTTTATTTATTCAATCTTTAACATTTCTGCTATAAAAGTCGCTATTAATTCAGTTTCAACGAACTACCACCAACACCAGTCGTTAAAATGAATGCACATGTTTACGATGACGAAACAAAAAAATGTGCAAGTCAGCAACTTATTTGACACCGCGAAGCTAGATTTTCGCGAAGTGCATGAAAACAACACGTTAATCCAGCGATCTAAAAACTGCAAAAAAAAAAAAAAAAAAAAAAACACGACAGAAAGGTCCATAAAGTATGCAGATGTTTAAATGAGAAATAAAACAATATTTTGTTAAATGGGAGAATGCTAGCGAAAATAATTTAGTTTTTATCGAAGGAAGGTAAATTTAGCTCTGGGCCTAGTATATAGCCTACTACTATTGCTGTAGGCCACGCTGCTGCACTGTCGGTTGGTTCGTACTACCTGCTGGTCGCCTATATATCAATAGCAGAGGATAGCTAGGCTAGGTAGTGGAAACGGACACCTGATCTACAGTAGTTTACAAATTTGTCAATTTTTTTTATGAATACCCCTTGGTAGGGCCATGTAACGTCGAAGACCTAGAAGCTGGCTGGCTGTTTATCTGGCTATAACTTGGCATCGAACGAAACTAGGGATAAATCATATCATACATGTATTTCAAGATTTAGTTAAAGTGGCTTAACTTCGACGTGAACCAGGCTAGCGTTTTAGATCACAGGTGGGGAAAGTGTGACCAGACAGTGATTTTTTTGCGGCTTTGCCAAACATTTTTGGCTAAAAAAAAACCTTGTTTTATGGCTCGACACCGATCATCTGTAAAAAGTAATATTTAATGAGAATTAAGTGGTTTAAAAACGGTGCATGAAGGTTTTGAAAGTTATATTGGAAACATGAAAGTTCGGGTGCGGCCCTCTGTGTTAAATCAAAAATTCTCTTTGGCCCTCTGACCAACTGTTTTTATTCCACTCTCCTGACAACCATTTCAAAATAAAGTTTGCTAGACATGGTATTCAAAAAATGTCTCATATTAACAATAATACAGTTAACAATAGAAACTGGTATACAGAGGTTTCTTTGCTTGCAAAATGCTTGTTTTTCGAAAATTACTTTTTTATATGAGCATTTTATTTTATGATTAATATTTCAGTAGACCTTTTCAACTGATTACACCAAAGTACGTAACTAAACACACTTCACCATGCCTTGGCGTCAACGTAACTATTCCTGGAAGCAGAATTGGCCTCAGAAAAAGAAATCATCAAGCTGGAGGGACAGCAACTCTTGGAGCCTGCCAAGCATCCCAGGTCTTGACATGCTGGAGAGTTCTGTTCTTAGTGTGGATGCCTTGATTGGTAATGACCCCTTACTGGATGATGACATGGATGATGATCCTGACACTCAAAAACTACTAGGAAGCATCAGAGGCAGAATTGTGGGCATCCAGTACTATAAAGGCACGGTAAGGTCAAGTTGGTAAAAGGCACCTGGGATTAGGGTAATTCTGTGTCAAAGCAAACAAGTATTTATCTCAATCTCGGATTTTAGAGTACGAATAGGACCATAATAATAATAATAATTAATTAATGAGAAGCAATCAGAAATGATCAGCATGTATCTCATTAATTAAGGCAAAAAAATGTTCATTTTGATCGTTTCTCATGGGAAGTCACAGACATGTACACTTCATAGTACATAAATTGTTGATTTATATTTAAATATATATTTAACATTCTTAATATTTTCTTACCGATTTCTGCTAACACAGGTGAATAATTATGAAATGGTGGGTCTAGTTCGTGAGCCTAACAATCCGTACGACAGGAATGCTGTGCGTGTGGACAATGTACGTAAGCAGAAAGTCGGTCATCTAAAGCGACAGCTAGCTGCAGGAATATCCTACATAATGGATAAAAAGTTGGCCCGTGTGGAAGGGTAAGTTTGGCCTAAAGGTTTTTGTCTTAAGTATATTCAACGTGAAGATGCATTGTGCAGAAAGATCTCTTCTGGTTCTTATGATATGATACTCCTTTATTGTCATTTTAACAACAAATTAATGAAATTAATGTTGATTGATCCGATAGGCAAAAACAGTAGAATATAAAAGCATGAAAGAATAGATAATAAAAAAATAAATTCCTTGTGATAATTATATGGTTGGGACCCTGTGGTTCAGAGTAATAATCCCACTAATATTTATAATTAGTAATAATAATAAAAAAAATTTAGAATAGATAGATAATAACTTTTGACTGCTTTTGTTGAATCGAAATAAACAATGAATTTTAGTTGTTTTAGAGCTTGCCCAGGGGCACAATTGTGAAAATTTACCAGTGGTTGTAGCCCAGGCAATGTTGCAATAGTTAATATAAGGTAAAATATGTGTATTATATAACGAAAATAAGATGTTGGAGGGAAGCGTATATTTTAATTTAGATAAAACTCCAACATTTCTAGAAACTATTTTTGTGACATTGGCAATATGACATTTCCAACTGAGTTCACAGTCAATTATGACTCCCAGAAATTTTGCGCTGGAAACTCTTTTAATTGGATGGTCATCCATAAGGATATCATTTGGCAATTCTTTGTTGCATTTCTTACTATGATTGAAATAAATAAAATTAGTTTTAGATATATTAAGAGATAATTTATTGAGTTTGAACCATAAAGATACATTTTTAAGTTCGTTATTAATTGTGGTTATAAGAGTATGGTTATTTTCATTGGAATAGAATATGTTGGTATCATCTGCAAACAAAATAAAATGTAGTAATTTTGAGACATTCGGGAGATCATTAACGTAAATTAACAACAAATTAATGAAATTAATGTTGATTGATCCGATAGGCAAAAACAGTAGAATATAAAAGCATGAAAGAATAGATAATAAAAAAATACATTCCTTGTGATAATTATATGGTTGGGACCCTGTGGTTCAGAGTAATAATCCCACTAATATTTATAATTAGTAATAATAATAAAAAAAATTTAGAATAGATAGATAATAACTTTTGACTGCTTTTGTTGAAGATTTATAATAATTTATATATTTTAATTTAATTTTACTTTACTAGTTTATGCCAGTTTATCTTCTCATTGACATCAGAGCTCCACTAGACATCAGAGCTCCACTAGACCGTGAGTTAGTTCACTTTTTGGCCATCCTGTCCGGCTAATTGAGTTTTTTCCCTCTCAGTTAATTTGTATGTCGGTTTTATTGTTCTTTGGACTAAATAAATGAAATAAACAATATTTATTTATTAATTATTTGATATTTATATTCAGCATAATATTGCACATTGAATCTTGGTTTAAATCAAAACTTTGTCAACCTTTTTCTTCATTAGCATTGTGCCCTCCGGTAAGGATAATAAGTACGACATGCCCGTGGACATAACATTGTGGGGTAAGCCAGAGAGACAGACCGCAGTGGCAATTGCACTAGCCAAGCACAGCATTCAATTCCAGTACCCTGGTGGTGAGATGTCCAACGTTGCATCCTCTTCACTTGGCGTAAGTGGATATCAGCCTCGAACGTCATCTTACACTCCACAGCTTTTAACACAGGCAGAGGTGAGTTGTTGCCAACATATTGTAAATTCCTACTCTACTCAGTTTTTGCATCTGACATCAAATCTATTTGGTTTGATTACTTTATTTGAACTATTTAGCTTTATTATATATGATTATTTTTTTATATGTATTGTTTTTGTTTGAGTATGTGTCGAATGTTTTTTTTATAGGTGTATGTGTCAAATTTATAATAAATAAATAAAAATAAATGAAATATGATTAAGGTGAGGGGGACAGTATGTTGGGGAAGGGGTAAACACACTTAAACACTTCAACATATATACATTTTATATGCATTGCATATAAAATGTTGATTCAAAATAACATGCAATATAATTTTTATGACCAATTGCTATGCAACATGGACATGTAAACATTCTTATGTAACCAAGTACAGGACATTAGTTGACTTCACAAAAACAATGGAGAATGGTTTTGCAATATCAACATTTTTTTCTGGACACTTTCAGAGAGGAGGGAGTACCAAAAAGGAGTACAGTTTGTACACTTACGACCCCTAACCTCTTCATCATTTAATAGAATCATTATTAAAATAATTCTTTAAATTTCAATTCCTTTTTTCTGTCTGTGTTAGCAAGGTTACGCAAAAACTAATTTTAAATCATCATAACATTTTGTGGAATGGTACATAATAATCTAAGAAAGAGATGATTATCTTTTGGGAAGAAAGTGTCCACGGGGAATGTCACAGAAATTTGATTCCCCTCCTTGAACTTACCCTCGAGCATAAAATAAAATTATGAAATCGCCCATACACAGCCAGGCACGGGCGGAGGTATGCGCTCTATAGATTGACTGCTCTAGCTGTTAGTGATTTGGTTGTTATTTTTTCATTATTTAATTTTTTTTTTTATATTTTAAAGTTGTTACCTTCATCTCAATTATTGGTACAGTAACATCTCCCAATTGCGACCTCCCATTTACGAACTCTCAATTTTACGAACAAATTTTCGGCGATGACGTCATTACAAACAATCGTTTTTAACTACAAAAACATTTTAAAATGTATTTAAAAGTCTTCAAAAAATAATTTGAATTGTTAATTAGCTAAGAGAGAAAATATTCAAACCAATAATAAGATATAAACTTAAGTATAAAGCGAGGAATATCAATCGTTGTAAATCTCAGTCTTTTTTCTTTGAGGGCGCTATTCTCATGGAGTCACATGCGATCCTCATAAAAAGAATAGTAACACTTGTTTTGGACATTATATGGTCATGTTTTTATTCGGAAATCACTTCAAATGATTAATTCACCGTGAGCACTGGTAATTTTGGCGTCTGTAAAGTATTATTTTGTTGCTGAAAAAAGTAAAATCCAAATAAAAAAATTGTTCGCCCATGACATTGGCAAGTCTTAGGCCTACATAGCCCTGTAATTTGTAGCATAGGCCTACCCTCACCACACTGAAATGCTAAAAATTTGAACTCTCTGAATTACGAATTTTCTCATTTACAAACTCTGTTCGGACGGAAGGGTACGTAATTGGGAGATGCTAGTGTAATGATAATTTTAGTATTAATATCAAATAAATAATAACAAGAACCTTGTTTTTATTAACAGATGAAGAATGAATTGGACAATATATTTGACTCGATGAAGGAGTATGATAAATCTTCCTGTATGGAGCCTGCCAAGGTACTAAAATTTATTAAAAAGTTTATTGAACATATTCTTTAATTATTTATAAATATGTTTTGTTTCCATTGTTGCTGGTTTTGAAATTGTTAAATAACATCTGTGACGATAATGAATTATTTAATTTTGTCTTAATTGTTTTTCTTAATTTGCCCGAATTAATATTCAGGCAATTACCACCAAGCTCTACACACATCAAAAACGTGCCCTGCAGTGGATGGTGAACCAGGAGAATTCAGACCATCTTCCCCCATTATGGGAAGAAAGGAGGGGGAAGTATATGAACGTCGCTACAAACTTTATCACAACTGAACGTCCTCCAAGCATCCATGGTGGAATTCTAGCAGACGACATGGGCTTGGGTAAAACTCTTGAGGTGATTGCCCTCATCATCACAAATTTCTACCATTCTAAGCCTCTGGTTGTGCCTGTTGAAGATGTCGTAATTGAGGTAAAGTATGAAAGTACTTCCAATTTGAATGTTGCTTAGTTTAGTTAAATTTTACGTAGGTATATATAACAACTTTTATTAAAAACTATATGTCAAATGAATACTATTTACTGTACAGTTTCTGTCCTATGCTGTTTGTATTCAGTTAACAAAACAAAACTAAAACAGATGTAGTTTATTTGTTATTGGTAGTTATATTACATTGTGTTATTTCTTTATTTCATAAGGAGAAAGAAAAACCAGTGAACACAGAGATATGCCAAGACAGTGGTGTTACAGAGGAGGTGAAGAAACCTGTTCTAGAGGTGAACATTGAGACAAATAAAGTTTTGAAGGTTAAGCAGGAGGATGAGGAGTGGAAAGAGCCTGTTAAAGGAGTTGAAAAAAAGAAAAGAGTACCAAGAAAGAAGAAAGCAGCAAAAAGCAAAAATGTGAGTATTGCTGTTTGGTAATTATCAGGGGTTTCAGTCAGATAATTCCTTACAACTTTTATCTACCAACCAATTGAACCCTTGTCCAATTAAAAATTCTTAGTCACATGTTGTTGATTTCAGGTAAACAATAGATTAACAATAATATGCAATTAACTATCATACAGTGTATGATAAATGACATGCCTGAGAAACATCATCATAATTAACTATATTGTTCCCTGCTGGACGTAATGTGTATAAACAATATCACTTTTCCTTTCACTATAGAAAAACTTCAAAAGTACTTGAGATAAAATAAAGTAATTTTATATAATAGTCATGTACATTTCAGTAAAGAAGAGGAATTTGCTAATTTTTAGCACAGGATAGAGTTGAATAGAAGTTAAGTAACCCAATCTAGCCAGTACTAGCATGGAAAATACAAATAGAATTGTATAATGATGATCGTATTAATCCATACTTGAAATTAATCCAACTGAAAAATTGCTAACAGCAATGTGGCTGATGTAATTTACCCAACTGGATACTGGTATGGATATGTATTTGCTTTTCAGCTTGGAGACACGGGAGATAAAACAGAAGTAGAGAACTTGCCGTCTGCCACTGGGGTCTCCCCCAATGTTAGAAGACGACCAAAAAGGTTTGTTTTGGTCTTTATTTTTTGTGCACCTTAGGAGATATAGTGTCATTTGTTGTTTCATGTATTCCATTCATGTATAGTTTTTCCAATGTTGAATATGTAATGAATATTATCAGTGATGGATACAGGGGCTGGTGAAGGTAGTACTCATCACTCCTCCTTAAAAAAAAGGCCCCACAATTGGTAGAGAACACCCAAAACCTCTCTTTGACCGAAGGTTCCCAATTGCCAATACACAGTGATTTTATGAGGCTAATTAATTCAACTTTTGAATAGATTTGCTTTTCTCTTATCCTTTTAATTCCAAGATTAAAAAGCTTATATTTCACATTGTGAATTATGCATTCTTCTTTATGTAGAACCACAAGAAGGCCAGCTAAGTATACCTTCAGTGATGGTGAGGAACCGTCACCAAGGAAGCAACGTGAGTATCTTTTATCTTTAGCATCAGAATATAAAATACATCTATTTTGTCGTTGTAATAAAGATTTTAAAATCTGAATTTATTTCTTTTTAGCCAGGACAAGTGAGCTAGCTAGTTCAGATTTTGTAGCAGAAGACATCACTGAAGTTGCAGTTAAAATGATAGACACTGTAGATACTCCAAGTATGAATGTTGAGTCATCAAATATACAAGGTATGAAATATAATTGTACAATTAGGTCGACAGTGAGGTAGTAAAGTTAGTTTGAAATGCTGGTAGCAACTTTTTGCTGAACCACATTCCTTTGTGACCCTATTTCTACTCCTCTAAAGCAGCTCCCCCTTTGATAAACAGGCGTTAGCACACCTTCTTTCACAAGATGATTTTCAAGCCATTGGTTTTGTGTAAAATGCTGCGTAGAGAATACCTGAAGCCTGAATTTGCTAGCTAACTATATCCAAGTGATTACTTGAGAGAACCATTATAAGAGAGATTATTTTCACTTGCCTTTCAGATGATCTTCCACTCTTACCATCACTTCCTACAGAGCCAACATCTTTGCCGACTTCCATAGTCACCATCAGTACTGTTAATGGTGCTTGTTCTGCTGTTAGTAGCACAGTGTCAGGAGTTAGTGTTGGCAGTGATGCCACCAGTGTGTCTAATACCAGTGCTTCTTCAGATGCTGTAGCAACCAGCAGTGTTAATGGTGTCTCAAAACCAACAGTCATTGATAGCTATGATCTAACTGATGAACCTTGTGCCACTGCCTCTGTAGATGTTGTGACTTCTAGTAATGAAAGCAAACCACCATCTGAAGTGATTGTTCTCGATGAAGATGATGACGATGGCGATGATGACCTGCCAGATATACAGCTATCTCACAAGGTCCCCAGCAGAACCTACACCAGAGGTCCAAGACCAACACTTATCATATGTCCGTTGTCAGTCATGAGCAACTGGCTCCAGCAGCTTAAAGAACATGTACATCCCCATGTGGATATAAGAGTTTACTTATATTATGGACCAGATAGAGTACGTGACCCAAAGGTGTTGGCATCCAAGGATATAGTGATCACAACCTACAGTACACTGGCGTCAGATTTTAAAGCAAAACAGGTAAGAATAAAATACAAAATACAATTTTTTTTATATGTATAATTTTGTTTTTAGCCAGTTTGATACTACTTTAGATAAGCAGTAAATGAAAGACAATCAGCACTTTTCAGACTAACAAATTAATTTTTCCACAAGCGTTCAACCCTGAGTAACCTTAGATAAGCAATAACTTAACTATCTGCTTCGTGCCAATTTTTTAAAGTACTTTTGCCTGGAATTTAATAAACAGAAATCTGGATTAAAGTCTGGTAAACAAGCTCTTCCACAGTATGGGTGCAGATTTTTTTTAAATGTTGATGAAGAGCTCTATTGGAATAACACTCGTGTTAAGATGTGTTATGATCTTGTGATAAAACTCAGTGAATTAATGGATTTAAATTGTTACAAGAATCATGACTGTAAAGATTCATTTTTTAATGTTTTCCTCAATTTCTGGTTTCGTTCTTCAGGAGAGAAGTGTCTTGCACAAGACTCATTGGTTGAGAGTAGTTCTGGATGAGGGTCACACGATCCGCAATCCTTCTTCATTGCAGTCCAAAGCAGCAATTGCACTTACTACTGACCGGCGCTGGATTTTGACAGGTTAGGAGTGATTACCAACTGCTTTAGTTTTAGATAGTTAAAAGGAAATGTATCTTAAGATTTATAATAATCCTATGTGCAGAGGGATAGGCAGATAATCAAGGCATTTTAACTTTGTACCTGGGGGTGGGGGAAATGGCATATATTCCTTTCTCAACACATTTATATATTTTTTCAACGATATTAGAAAGATGGAACATTTGGAGCAGGACAGAGACAAAGCAATCTGCCATGTCTGGTTTGAATACAAAATATATTTAGTGCAAAATTTGCATTTTATATACTCGCTCATATTACCAAACTTCTTTCTTTATCTTAAGATTTATAATAATCCTATGTGCAGAGGGATAGGCAGATAATCAAGGCATTCTAACTTTGTACCTGGGGGTGGGGGAAATGGCATATATTCCTTTCTCAACACATTTATATATTTTAACGATATTAGAAAGATGGAACATTTGGAGCAGGACAAAGACAAAGAATTCTGCCATGTTGGTTTGAATACAAAATATATTTAGTGCAATATTTGCATTTTATATACTCGCTCATATTACGCTCATATTACCAAACTTGTTTCTTTTGTAGGTACTCCTATCCAGAACTCAATGCGTGATCTTTGGACCCTTACAGTGTTCTTGAAATTAGAACCATTCTGCTCTGATAGGCAATGGTGGCAGCGTGTGATTGCCAGACCAATAGCTGAAGGCAATAAGAAGGCACTTACGTAAGTTTAAAATTCAACTTAATTTTGATAAACAAACATAAATTTTTGATTTTCTACAAAGTATATCCTGTTGATTATCTACATTTAGGCGAGTGCAGTCCCTGATGAGAGCCATTGCTCTAAGACGCACCAAAACCCAAATGGTAGATGGCAAGCCATTGGTTGAACTGCCAGAAAGGAAAGTTTATGTACAGACAGTGGAGCTGTCTGAAGAGGAGAGGAAAGTGTATGAAGCCATGGCCAAGGAAGGTCGCCTGGCCATTGGTCGGTTAGTAAAGGATTATGTTGTTTTTTGTACTATTCCAAGTATGTCCATTTGTTTTTGATATTATGTATATTGTTCACCTGGTTATTAATACTAAAAATTAGTAAGCAAATTATACTCTTATTTTTTTTCCCTTTATATTATCTGTTTTATGTACCTTACCAATTGTGAAATAGATTACTGTAAAAACTGTATCCCATGGAAATGGGTTATCCCTGACCAGTCTTCCATTGAAAAAAGAACAACACACAGATTTCAATATTTGTTTGTGTCAGGAAAATATAGGAATGTTTTGCCCTACTTGACTTGTTATTGTACTTGGTATATAGTATGATAGCATTTCAGTTAGGGCAAAACATCACACACAAAGATTATTGTTCATTACTTTTTAAAAATTCCGACTTAATTATATTATATTCTCTCATTGGTGAAATTGTGTAAAATCAATGATTTGTAAATTTTGCAGTCCTGAAAGTGACATTTTAATGTATTTAGTGTTGATTATTTGAATATTTTAAAAATACATTTAACAGATACTTCAGAGCAGGCACCCTGCTGCATCACTATGGTGATGTGTTGTCGATCTTGTTGAGGTTGCGACAGCTTTGCTGCCACCCGGCCCTCTGTAACAAAGCCAGATTCAAAGCTGAAATAGAGGGTAAGCCATTTTGTGGTGTTTTTGTTTTTCATTAAATGATGAAAAAAAAACATGTGGACTTTATTTGTTTAACTATATTTAAATAGCTAATTTTATTATATATTGCCAGCTTTAATTGACCTTGATGCTAAAGAATCTAATGAGGTCACAGATGAAGCAAAAAAGAAACTGGTGGAGAAACTGCTGAATGTATTAAGTCAAGGAGCTGATGAAGTAAGTAAATAAATAGTTACCAGAAATTTTAATTAATAACAAATGTACCATTTATATAGTACATACCCTAATAAACTCAAGTAGTACATCCTTTTTATAATTTAAATTTCTGCTCATGGTAATGAATGTCAAACTTTCCAGTAATAAATGAAGTCAATTTAGCTAAGCTATTACATGGTTTCAAACACTTTTTATTTTTCTAGGAGTGTTGTGTTTGTTTGGAGTCCCTCAGAATTCCTGTCATCACATCTTGTGCTCATGTCTTCTGTAGGCCTTGCATCGAAGAGGTCATCAACGCAGAAAAGGTGGGGACCCAGTGTTTGATAATGCTGTGCTTAAGAAATATAATATACTAATAGATATATACATTTGTTTTATACATGCTGTTAAAATTTGTCAAATGTTTTGTTGCCAATGTATTTAATTTATTTGTAATGTAAACCATATTTTCCCATTTTAGGAAAGAGCCGCATGCCCTCTATGTCGAGCAAATGTCAAACAGAATGACCTGGTGCAGGTACCTGAAGATAAGATAGAGCCACCAAAACCCGAAGTTGGGCCATGGCAATCTAGTGCAAAGGTCGGTGTTATCAAATTTCAGTACTTAACTTGGTATTTGACATTCCATAAAATATTGACAAAGTCATTGTTTGGCAGTGACTGATATGTTCTGGCTAGTACATTTACAAAATTGTTTTTCGTCTTTGTTATTTTTTTCGGTTATCTGTTAATGTTTATTAATGTATAATTCTTATTTCACTTTGTTCAATTTTTGAATATCTATTTTAAGAAACATAGTTATATATGTTGGCATTTTCCCGACAGGTAGTCCATCAACCCAAACATACAGGCCTACCAAGTTTCCATGGCAAATACTCCATGTTCAAAATTAGATTGGAATAAAAATTTTAATAATATAGTATTTGATTGACAGGTCGATGCTATGATGCAGCACCTTATTCAGTTGCAGCGTGATGATCCCACCATTAAGAGCCTCGTTGTCTCGCAATTTACTTCACTCCTAGACCTCATCAAGAAGCCACTCGGGTATGTTGCTAATTACATTAAAAGATTGTCAAGCTTGAAATAGGATTTTATATTAAAAAAGGACTTCATTACTACTTAATCAACAGAGATTACAATTTTGCTTTACATCATTTATCCCTAACCACCGCCAGGTATACTACCAAAATCATGAATGTTTAAACAGTGGAATACCATTGTTAGTGTGACAGTCAGAGAGTAGGCTTGCTGTAGAAAGTAACCAAAGCAAAGAATCATAAAAATAAAAGTACTTTATTATTTCTTAATACTCAAAGGGGACTAAAATTTTGCATTATTTATTAACGAAAGAAAAGAATTACTGTATAAATATGACATAGTTTAGTGTTATTTATTTACCCAATTTATTATATTTTAGTGACATTGGGATTAAGTTTATTTGCTTTGATGGACGGATGTCTATGAAGAAGAGGACTGAAGCATTGGCAGAGTTCTCCAGTCAGGATCCTAGGTCACCAACTGTGTGCCTGCTGTCACTAAAGGCTGGAGGTGTTGGTCTGAATCTGGTGTCAGCCTCAAGAGTCTTTCTTCTTGATCCTGTAAGTGATAATTCTACATGGTTCAAATGCACCCTTGAAAAATACATTACATTATAACATATGGGATAGCTTTGATCATATTTATTTATTTATGAAGCCAGATGAAATTCCTACAAGATCTGTTATGACTGTTATTACATTATAACATATGGGATAGCCTTGATCATATTTATTTATTATTTATGAAGCCAGATGAAATTCCTACAAGATCTGTTATGACTGTTATTACATTATAACATATGGGATAGCCTTGATCATATATATTTATTTATGAAGCCAGATGAAATTCCTACAAGATCTGTTATGACTAGGGGACCATCCATACTTTTTGTCATTTTCACAAGAGTACTAAACATATGTTTTAGCTTGAGGTGGTTGAAAGTGTAGGCATATGTACTTTTTGATCGAAAAATAAAACCATGATCTCAAAATGAAAAAAATCATTATGTTATGTACCTTTTCAGGGAGAGGAAGTGGGTAACAGAAGAGTATGTTTTTTACTCTTCTAAATTACATGGATGATCACTATGGTCCCTGTATTTTTTTATTTGTAAATTAATCAAATGCTGCTAATGTGACTCCATTTTCAGATAGTGCTAGTGTGCAATGATTCACTTGTGCATAAGTTTTAAACTCCCATGGTGCAAGCGTTACATTTGTTTCACTTCCTTGTAGGCTTGGAATCCAGCCGCCGAAGAGCAATGTTTTGATAGGTGTCACCGCTTAGGACAAACCAGAGATGTTGTCATCACAAAGGTAATAAGAAAGTTAGACAGGTGGAAAAGATTCTACCATTGTGTTTAAAGCCCCATTCCTGGCAAAATTTCACTAAAAAAAGAATTTTTTTAGAAAAAATGCAGTTGCATTACTCTAATTATTATAAATCATGGAAAAATATTTGCATAAATATTGGTTTTACACAAAGTAATAAAAAAAAAAGAGAAATACAGACTATTTCCCATAGGAGATTACCATTTTCTTGACGAAGTCTTCGTTACTAGGCAAATTAAGAGGTTGTAGATCGCATCTGCTGGAATGCTCTCGCTTTTTGTACTTCGCATCTCGCACACTGTGGTCGATCAAGTAGGCCTGAGATATGTTTGTTTAAGTGTCAAAATCTCAGGTCAGAATCAGTTTCTAACAAATTTGAAATAATTTCTATGAAATATGAGCAACGGAAAATATCATGTCGGCTGTTTTTATGTGTGATAACAGAACCTAAATCGGGGAAATGCTAGGCCTAGCCCAGCAGTGTTGAATAGGCTAATGTTTTCAGTGCCTGCTATATTTCTTAGCAGATCTATCACAAAATCAAACATAAAAAATTCATCCGTATTTATTTTTTGTGTGGAACACAAAAAAAAAAATCAAATTTCAGTCTTATTTTACATTTTGTTCACGTTTAGAAATATCTAAATTCAGTTTAACTGGGAATTTTGTATTATATTTATAAATCTTTATAACATATACAAAAATCAGATTTTTCTTAACTGAAATTTTGCCAGGAATGGGGTTTATTGCAGACAAAATCATACTTGATAGACATTTTCAAGATGTTTTGTTCGACATTCTCTTCATAAATCAAATTCAAAGCACACTTGTAGTGGCAGATTGAATTTTAAAATTATTTTAAAAATGGAGAAAAAAATAAAATTATAATATTTAAGCCTGAGAGTGCCGAACATCCAGAGGTGCCATAATCATACATTTTCTTTCCACAGCCCCAACCATGGCGAGTCCAAAGTGGTTGGACCCTATATCTATAGTCCCTCCCTGGGTCCCTCTGTTACGAATTCTTGGATCCGCCAATGATTTGTAAGAAATTTGATTAGATTTGTATTTCTTTGGTATGAAATACACCAACAACAGCGCCTGTTGAATCAAAAGGCATTTCCAGTGGGTTCCTTGTGGAACACCACCAGGAGACAACCCACTGCTATTTGTCCAAAGTATGTACTTTGCTCTTTTACAGTAGATGAACATGGTATTGAATGAAACTCTCATTTCAGACCTCCAACACAAGCAGAGCAGCTGATCTGGTCAGCACACACAATTTGGCTAGCACCAGTATAGCAAATTGTATGATTACTCTTTGTGTATTGGTGCTTGATGAATAATTGGGATTTAATAATAAATAAAATATTCAAAATTTGTAACTTATTCATAAAATGTAAATTCTAACAGTTGTCATTTCATTGCCTCTTAGTTCATCGTAAAGGACTCTGTAGAGGAACGCATGATTGATCTGCAGGAGAAAAAGCGCAACCTAATGGTGGGCGCATTTGGCAAGAAACAGACAGCGGAGGAAAGACAGAGGACGAGGATAAATGATATCAAACTATTGATGGATCTTTGAACTGATGAGGTCACGCCATTCAGGTCTAGATGAAGCACATAATCAGCATTATGTGTAGATGACTGCTAGACATTAATTTTAATATCAATATTGTCCTTTAATTTTGCCAAAAAGCTGGGTAAGGGAAATAATGACTTCTATTTTGAGGTTAGTATCGTAAAACTCATAATTTTAATAAAAAGAAACTGTCGCTTAACAGAAGGTGTTGCAATATAATAGCTGAAGCAATATAAATGAAATGAAAATTTTAAAAGATGTTCTGATCATTTTGCAGATGTGGAATGTTATTTCAAAAACAACTATTTGTGCTTGCGTTTATTGTGTTTTAGTAGCTAGTAGATATATTAGAATACAAGTTTAAAATATGACATAATTTAGAAATAAAGCAACAAAAATCATCTAAAATCAGTAATCTATTTTAATACTAATACATATTCGGGCACACTGTACTGACAGTCGTCAGCCATAGATTTTCAGCTGACATGATTTCATTGAGAACACAACACGACTACGCGCATTAGATGGCACACTTAGACTGCCACAGCCAACGCTGGTTGCATGATCAGTAAGTGCATACAGAAATCGGTAGATGCAACGTGTGTTCACCTTAAGAAAACAACAAATATTAATATAAAGAATGATACGTACTGCAGATATTTGGGATATCTATTCTACATATTTATTCCTTTTAAATTTTTACCTTGATTGCACCGATTCCAAATTTAGCGTTAACTATATAAACATTTTCTTTAATCTTACATAAAAATACATTTCTGTCTCTTTACAGTACATGAGTGTTTTAATGTTATACAGTATTAACCTATGCATGATTTTTATATAATATAGAATTTTGCCAAAGATTTTTCAATGTTTTTCAATAAATATGACAGCATGTTTGTTACTATATTTATTGATCTTATTGTCATTATTGTTGTTTAATAACCTATGTCAAAGCAATTTATGTAGACCTTAACATAGGATTGCATGACTGAGGTTTATGTACAAAATACATGTTATTTGCTCTTATATAAGGCAAATCATTTCTGTATGATTTTAGTGGCAAGTTGAATAAAATAAAATATATTTCTGTATAATACAAAACATTTAAAACTATAATACTGTATTCTTAACTAAAATACTTCAACTGTCGGTAAAGGCACCAAACAGTATCTTCAGAGGAATGTTAAGGCTCACTGTGATGAATCCCTGTCTCTTATACACATCTAGATGTGTATAAGAGACAGGACTAATGGATATGAATCATTTGTTGCAATAATTTTGAAATTTCTCCAGTATTTTTACATTGCCATATTGCATTATAGATGATTGTGTAACCACAATGTTGCTTATAAAAAAATGTTTTTTTTTTCTTTGTGATGAATAAAGGTGGGATGACCCCACAAAAGATAAAAAAAAAAAGATCTAGAAAACTAAGACCTAAGATATCTTATTTTTCTAGATCTAGAAAACTAAGTTATCTTAGTTTTCTAGATCTAGAAAACTAAGATATCTTAGGTCTTAGTTTTCTAGACACCCCTACCTGCCCATTACTCTAAGCTGGCTCGCGCATTTCATTAGCATCTCAATCACTTCATACTCATTTCAATCATTACTAAGCACATAACACCTACTTACAGTACATAAGTACATATAAATACTATACAATTAAATTACAGTAAAAATACTTTTCGAATCAAGGTCACTCCTTTCGGATTAATTTCCAAAATATATTATTGTCGTCAATTTGGACCATACTAAGCCATAAAATTTCCCTGTGAACCCTTACCAAGGATTTTTTATTCCAGGACTTGGATCGAGGCTCTAGTCAGCCCCTTGGTTTGGACATGTTCAAACCCTTCGGCAAATTTCTTGAGCCACTTTAGTAGTGAGAAAAAGTCAAGACAAATGAAGGATTTGAAACCGAAACCCTGGGATTGAAAGGCAAAATTAACCCTACTCAACTTCAATGAAGCATTTTAAATGTTCCAAATCAGTGGGGGGGGTCGGGAGGATATTAATACGCCGATTGCAGCTCTTGAATGTTGTGCAAAATTTTTAGAATCCTAATTATAAAATTTTCACCTTGTTCACCACTGCTACAGTTAAGCATTCAGGGAAGTTAATCACTAGTGATACAGCAATGTGTCTATGGCTTACCCAGCAAACACAAAGATGTCTAACACGCATTGAAATTACATTGCAGCAACATTTAAACATTACTAAGTTTTGAAATTGCGTTCTAAGTACATACTGTATTTATAGTTTTACAAAATTATATTTTCTACAACAATTAAAATTGTTTAGCTAGGTAATTTTTAATTGCCAAGCTCTAGCACCACTTGATTAACATTAAACACAAATTACATACAAAGGTTTTACTTTCAAAAGATAACTGTAAATCAATTCAGATGAACCTTCCATCAGGGGTCTTCACGTTGAATGCTAATGCTAACACTAACCCTGAAATAAGAGCAAACAATTTAAACTTGGCATACCATTACAGTAATCCAGGAGAGAAAAGAAAGTAGGTGAAACTTTTATTTGGGTTGGACACTTTTTTTTTTTGTCGAAGCTAACCTTATACTTGGTCAGTCTACAAAAGGAGTATTCCAATGCAAACAGCGTCGAATGCGAGTCGAAAGGCTGAGCGGTTAGCAGGGGCGCTGCAACCTACGGCCATAATATCGGGGCTGGTTGGAACAGCACGCTTGCCTATGGTTCAAGTGGTAGAACATGTCTTCTCGGATAAGGACTATAAACTGTAGGCCCAGCGTATACAATGGCTCGTGCACTATAAAGATTCAAGACCAGTAGGAGGATACCCTGGTGTACTGGAACAAACAGTCCCTGTGGTGGACAACGAGAGTTGCTGGTACCGTGTTACCGGGTTGCACAGACACGATGGGACCCTTAGGGGCAAAGAAAGTCATTGATCGAGTTTCTTATGCACATATCAAGCGCCCTGAGCACCTTATATTAGATGAATATGGTGCTATATGAAACTACCCTATTATTATTATTTATCATTCTCCTTGGTCACTTTGTTAATCAGTAAAACTCTTTAACTTTGGTAAATTGGAATTGTTTAATGTTTAAAATTTCCAAAATTTTAGGTTAAATGTATTTTATCCTATTGGCATGAATCGACATTAAACATGTGTAATATACATTTGACAAATATAACAATAAATTACTCTTTGATTATAAGATTGGTGTAAAAACAATTAATTAGAAAAAAATGTATATATTGAATGAAACTTACCTATAAAAGAAAATCCAGATATTAACGTAAACATTCCAAACCAGCCTAACGTATCACTAAGTGTACTAGACAATATGGTACCAAGAGGCCCTGTGATGACTTGGGAGGTGAACACAAGGCCATAGTTTGTGCCAACATATCGGGAACCAAATGCCCTAGTGGAGGATAGAATACAGTTTATAACAGTAAGACCACTCAAATTACGATAAAATAATAAAAAAACATTTTTATATTTTAGAGCAACCTGTACACAAAAAGCACAGAGAACATTTAAAATTTTACAGCAATATATTATATAAATAATTACAATTGGATGCTAAAAGGTAGTGGTTTCTGGAGTTAAAATTTTAAATAAAAATCATGTAGTTATGAATAATTTCAACCTTATGCTAAGTGGTGCTATTACATAATATTTAATTTTAAAAACTATAGTTTATTTTAGTTTACCTGGATGTTGCGGTTGGTAAAAGAGCAAAATTGCCAGATAATATGAAGAAAAGAAAACAGACCCAGATGAAGAACATTGCTTTGTTGCCCTCAACTTTGGAACATAGGTTGAGGGTCATCAGAAACGTCATCATAGATAAACAATTCACCACCATTGCAGTCTTTAGAAAAAACAAGAATTACATCTATACTAATAATATACCATATATTGCAGCTAGTAGTTGTCTGGTGCAGTTGTGGCACCAAAAAGGTGAAGGGCCTCACCCTATCCCTCCCCAACCTCAACAGGCTAGTCTCCATCAGCCACTACCGAAAATAAAAATATTTATTTGGGGATAATGCTTCTCACACTGAAAATCACTAATGCTTCTCCCACAGTAAATGTTATCTACTTACTATTGCCAAAGTTATGAGTAAAAGTAATACAGTATGGTTTCTCTGTACTAAGGTATACAATACCTGGGCGGATGCAGGGGGTGCAAATGGTGCGACCGGAATCCCCCTAAATTGTGTTAAGAAAAATAAGTGTTGTATTGTTGATAAGAATACCTAAGTACAATTTCTGGGCACCTAGAGGTCCATATTCTCAAAATGTTCGCACCTCAGTCCTAACCATGGTGGGGCTGATGTGGTGTGGACTCCAACGCACCCCCCCCCCCCAAATCCTGCACTGCCCCAGAATACTGCTGTATTCTATGCTAATTACACAGTTTAACATATAGCGACAGTACACATATAACAGGCGTTTATCCATGTGATTGTAAACAAATATTTTTAAAATATTCCTTACCTTGTAAGAGAAGGTATCAGCCAGTTGGCCCCAGAATATCCTGCCTAAGGCATTACAGATTGCACTGAAGGAACCAACATAAGTGAGGAAGTGATCATCACTGATGAACGTCTGACCAAATGCCTAGTGTACAACCAAAATTCATGTGTCATTTAGTTTAGATACATACCAATAGTTAGAATAACATAGTAAAAATTATCTATTTTAGTATCAGAAAACTATTTTTGTATGTTGGGTATACAGTAAAACATCATGCCTGTCAAAGCTTAGTCAGAGTTCATTTAATTTGATCTATAGTTTTAAAAAATGAAATTTTGAAAAAAAATCTCAACTAAAAAAGTTATCATTTTGTTTGTGTACATAGGATGAGGTAAGTTCTACATGTATGTACCTTATGTTTTTTTTTTTATTCTGTATGTAAACTGTGGAATACCATGTACATGTATAAAAATTAGATACCAAATTGTTTTATGGAAGTTTGTGTAATAGATGATGTTAGGTTTAAAAGAAACCATCGTCTTTCAATTGCAATTATCGACTTCAGCCATTGTTTTATACACGACTATATATATATATATATATATATATATATAAATCATCAAAGAAAGGTAAATACAGTGTTCGAATAAAGGACTTAATAAATACATCGTGTAGCATATCTCTCAACGAATGTATTCCT